TAAGGTTTGGGGTTTGGGGTTTAGGGTGTCCAGGTATATCCCAACCTCCAACCCGAACGCGGAGAAAGCCTCAAGCTGTAAACCCCAAACGTTCATTTTTTTATCACCCCAGCCCGAACTCAATTTCTAGACCCGTTCGAACTGAAAATTCGCAAGGGCTGCGAACCCAAAAACCTTAGGATCGAAGCTCAGTGCTTAGGTCTAAGGGCTTCGGAGGTTCAGGGGTTGGAGGCTGGCATTCGTAGCTAGAGCAGAGATCCGGGTCTTCAAGCGTTCTTTTTTGTTAAATGGGCTTAAGTTTATAGAGTTGGGTAGATTACTTCGCCCTTCTAATCCCGAAACCCTAAACCCTAAAACCTAAACCCTAATCCCTAAACCCTAAAGGGTACAAGGGTTCCTTTAAGGGCTCCTTCGGCGGTTTTTCGGACCGGGCCTTGCGCGAAGGTAGTGAGCATGGTGTCGAAATCTACCTGGGCAGATGTAAAGCTTCTTCTGCTGGCTGGAGGAATATGCAACCCCCTACAGTACTACAGTTGAGACACAAAGCTTGCACTCTAAAACTTCGCGTTGCGGTTTCAGGGTTTTTCTCACCTAAGTTACACGACGTTGATTCTCCAGGCGACTGAGGTCCGTAAGCCTGAACCCCCTAACTCTATCCCGAAAGCGCTCTCAAATCTGCAGCACAGGGGGCTCGGGGTTCAGGGTTTAGGGTTTAGGGTTTAGGGTTTAGGGTGATCGTGAGTAATTCCATGACCGTCATCAATCAGATGCTGGGTTGAGTGTTTGGGATTCAGCTGGCACTCCTCTTAAAGGCGAAGTGCCTACGACAGCTACTTCGCCGACCACCTTTAGTGCTTACTATCACAATGATCTTCTAAACCCTAACCCCCGAAACCCTAAACCGTAAATAACATTGAAGTGTTCAGGGCTTCGGCTTCAGGGGTCCGGACTAAGAGTTCAAGGACGCAATCTGCTGCCACTTCTGAAACATGTAAGGGGCTTTGGGGTATGTGATACGGCTGATGATCAAAAAACCTGCATTACCCATAGTAAGGAATATACCACATAATTCCCATCGTTTAAGGTCCTTGAGGTAATGCAGGATCTATGTCATCAACAGTAGTGCGACTATGATGACTGTTACGCGTGTTTATCATTACCAATTATTTCGAATGAATATACATGCATATACCAATACAAACATGTGGATGCTTACAGACACAAAAGTTCGGCTTCTATGTATAGGAATATAAAAAAGTATACGTATATATATATATATATATGTATATATGTACGTACAAAATAACCCCGGTTTAGAGTCCGCAAATCTATGCAAAGCGTGAATCCTAAACCCAAACCATAAACCCCAACTGCACCCCCCCCCGACCCCAAAATCCCGAACCTTAAGACCCTAAATCCCTAAACCACGGCACCCAAACACTGTAGCACCCCTCCAGTACCCTTGTAAGCCCCTCATTGGAACCTTAAAAACGGAACTCCATTAAAAGACAAGAAGACCCAGAGGCTCCAGGGTTTAGGGTTTAGGGTTTAGGGGTTTAGGGTTTAGGGTTTAGGCATGATGGAATTAGGTCCCGAAAACCCTGATAAGGATTGTCTTTTGGGACCTTGTTCCATATTGGTAGGGTATTTCGAGCCCCTATGGACGGCTTACTAATTAGAATAGGGTTTTGGTCTCTTTGACAGTATAGTTATAATAGGGAGCCTCCCCCAAAATAGTATAGGTAATTATTTAGGCCCCTAAACCCTAAACCCTAAACCCTAAACCGTAATTATTTAGGCCCCTATATTAACCATGGGCCGGCTGCTCGAGTGGGATCGACCCGCGTAGGCCGACCGGATCTTGCCTGGTTCAGGAGAGACCTCGGCAAGGTTTAAGGTTTAGGAAGTTTAGGGTTTAGGGGTTTAGGGTTTAGGGTTTAGGGTTTAGGTTTTAGGTTTTAGGGTTTAGGGTTTAGGTTTCAGGTTTTAGGGGTTTAGGGGTTAAGGGGTCAAGGGTTTAGGGGGTTCAGGAGGGAGCTCGCAGGTGGGCTCGGAGGGTCTTTGCTTCGTTCTGCGTTTAGTGGTTCAGGGGCTTTGAGGTTTAGGGTTTAGGGTTTAGGGCTGATTGAGGGTTTGAGCTCTTGTTTCACCGGTTTTTGTGTTCACGAAACTTGCTCAAGTAAAATCTAAGGGTGCCATCAAGCAACTGTAGGTTTTCATGGCTTACGGTTTGGGCTGGTTTGGCTTGGGCTACAGGTTTAGGTCTTAGAGTTTAGGCTCTCAGGGGGGTTTGAGGGTCTTTGGCAATGTGGTCGGCGGGATACGTTGAGGGTTGTCAACGTCTTGTGTTTAGGATTGTTGGGTTGACGGCTGTAAACTACTAAACTACTGTACTTGTAGAAGCCGCAAGGAGATAGATGGATGGAGAAATCTGAACAAGATCCAAACACAACATGCAAAGGCCTTAACACAAAACTTGATGACCTAAACCGTGAACACTGAACCCAATATGGGTTACCCTAAACAAATATTGCGCGGCCTTGTCTGCAGGCTCCCTGTGTCCAGCCTATCTGAACTTGAGCTCACTTGAAGCTTCGACCAAGGTCTCCGAAACCAGACTAAGCCCCCCACCCACCAAAACAAAAACACAAAAACAACACACGTAAGCAACTCCTGAAGCCAATAAGAGACGGCTAGCACCATAAAACTGCTTATGCTTATGTGGGGCTCTGTAACTGTAGACAAGGCTTGGGGCTTAGTGCTGCGACTGGCAAATCTCTGAACTGTTTCGGAGAGATGTGTGAAGCAGTTTAGACTTTAGGGTTTACAGGATCTTTAGGTCTTATCACCCCAAGCTCTCAACCCCAGAACCTTGCTCCTTGACAGCATCCCTGAAGGAGTTGAGTAAAGTCAGCTTCAGGTTTGGAGCCAAAGTGTGGGGTCCTCTTCCTGCCACCGTGCATCATTCTAGACCCGCTTAGGGTTTAGGGTTTAGGGTTCCGCTTCCCCAACTCGAGGCGCCAGGATGCAAGCATCGAGAAATTGCCTGGGGTCTTGCAGTAAAGCTTACAACCCTACAAGCTAGGCACCTCAGTTGCCGCATGTAGGTTTCGCTCCCACAAACAAAAAGAAGAAGGCTTCTAGGCATTCGGACTCAGTGATGCAAACCATGATTTCTTCTGTGTGTTGTGAAAATTGGGAACCTTATCTAGGGGCCCTTGCCACACCCTAAACCCACACACAAAACCCTTACACATAAAATCCTTAGGCCCTAAACACGTTCCTGCAGCCAGGCGTCAAACAGCCCATCCGCCCTGTAGCTGACTTCAGTGAGAGTTTTCGGCCCAAACTCCCAACCTCTATCACGCCTTGGAGCGACAGGTCAGCTGTGGAGTTGGCAGGCTAATTGAATTTTGGGTTTAGGGTTGAACGTGCTTTTGAAAAGAGATGCTTACAAAACTCAGACCGTGCTAAAGGCTTAGGAACCTCAAGTGCTAACCAAGAGAAAATTGCACGGGGCTGGGCTCTAAACTAAAAGTCAGTGTCAGAGGGTCCTAGGTACCCTAAACCCTAAACCCTAAACCCGAAACCCCTAGGTACCGCTATTGGGGAATTACTTTCCCAAATCATAACAGCGATCTTTGATGTAGAAACCCCTAAACTGCCCTAAACCCTGAACCCTGCATGCTACCATATAGGGTTTAGGGTTTAGGGTTTAGGGTTTAGGGTTGAGAGATGGGCACTTAGAACCTTTTGGGAGTCAGTCTGGTGCCTGAAAGAGCAGCTCTTGGAGTGCCTTCAAAAACGAGCCAGCCATCCGGAACAGCATCTAGGGCATACCCTAAGGGTCCAAGGGACCCGACAAGAAGGTACTTCGGTTGCGGATTGTAGTTCTCTAGGTTAATATTTGAAAAGAGTATATGATTCTTAGGTGCTTGGACCCTTAGGGATACTACCGCTACCGGATGCCGAAGACATGCCAAAGGTGTGAAACCCGCGGAAGTCCAAACCTCAGCCTTCGTAAACCACAAACCCATGAGGCTCCAAATAGCTCAAATTATGTATGTAGTTAATTACTATTTGTAGACTTTAGACCGCAACAGGCCAATATAGGCTCGCATTATGTTTGCTTGGAGCGCTGGGCAAACCGCAAACCCGAAACCCTCCATCATGCAGCTGAGACGCGGCCTGCGTCTCCTGCTTAGGACATCTCACGTGGGTTGATGGTCATTCATGCCCCTACTTGGGAGAACACCCCAGTATTCTACATAAGGGTTCCACTGTTGGGGTTCTAAAATCACCTAGAGGCTCCGTACATACTACCATTATGGAATTGGGTCCCGAAAGACCATTCTTATTATGGTTTTGGGGACCTAATTCCATAATAGTATATAGTATATGTGGACCCTTACGGTAAGGGTTCTTTTTCAGGGGTCTGTTTAACTATAAAGGGTTCTCAGGGCAAGCCACCACGAGATGCTAGCGGGGAACAGATGGAGATCAGGCTGAAGTGCGCCCGTCTCGAAAGCGCGAGAGCGAGATCAAGAGAGCAAGAGATTAAGCAGAGAGAACAAAAATTGATTAGAAGAGAGAGAGAGAGAGAGAGAGAGAGAGAGAGAGGGAGGGAGAGGGAGAGAGGGAGAGAGCGAGAGAGGGAGAGAGGCAGAGAGGGAGAGAGGGAGAGAGGGAAGGGGAGGGAAGGGAAGGGGAAGGAGTGAGAGAGGGAGACTGAGAGAGCTGAGCACAGGAAACGAACATGGATAGACTGACAGCAGTGATGTTTCTTGCCACCATTGCTGTTGCCTGCTGTGGCCATCATGCTAATTGCGACGACACTAAAACATTGGTCGCCAGCTTGTCTATGGTGTTGGGTATTAACGAGGTTAGCACCAACCTCGGCAGCAGAAGTATCCAAGGTAAATCATCCTAGTTCTTTTCCAGCCTCCGTTAAACCAGGATCATGAGCGCATCGCAAGCCCTGATCCCGACAAGAAATTCAGGCCCGCCAGTCGGGAAGGCCCGAAAGGACGGCAGCATGCTCCTCGAGGTCGACGAGTGGGTCAGGGTCCCGATGCTGGGGTTTTTAGGTCTCTACGGTTTTGTAATTATTTTTGTTTGGGTTGCGTACCGCCTGGCGCCCTGGAACATGGTGGTATATGCCCCCCAAACGATTGGCATTTAGGCTAAAGTAGGATTAGACGGAGCGTCTACGAAGGCTCCGGGCTTTGCATTACCAGGCTGACTTAGGGATTGATTTTCGGCTCGTAAACAGTTTGAATGGTATTGTTCTGGATTTGCAGCTTTTGGAGTCATGGGGGTATTGCGGAAATTTGGTGGTAGCCATAGCGAAATCACAACACACACACACACACACACCGGAACCTTGACAATATACATCTGCATAACATACTTTTTATTAGTCTGATCTTGTAAATTTAATCTGTGTGTATATTTATAGGCGCGCACACACACACATGTAATTACAATGCAGACAGCTGCACGCGATGCTAAGATTCGCGAGCTCTTCGACGCCACGCCCCCCCGAGCAGGGACAACTTGCTCGTGCCCCGGAATCGCATAAAGCCTGAGCTACACTGTGACAAAGAAATAGTTACTTGCGTTGAGGGTTTAGGGTTCAGAATATAATTGCAGAAAACAGGTGTTGGAATATCTACGGTAACTCTATAAGGTGTATCAGTAGTTATGGTTTTTGTAGGCGTTTGTTTTTAGAGGTAATAGAGGGTTCCTCGGGGCAAGAAGTGCGAAACACACTCATACATTCTAGTGGTAACTATGGTTGCAAATTACAGGCTTGAATAATTACAGCTACTGTGCCTGAGGATTCCTCCTGTACTAGTTTAGGGATTAAGGGATCTAGAGAGGTACCGTTAAAGCTCCATAATCAGCTATATATATATATATATGTGTACGCACCTTTTACACACATATATATATATATATATATCAGATTGAACAATTACCAAACGTATTCCTTAGGGTTCCTCTTGTATCGTTGGTATAAAATGCTCAAACCCTTTAATTTATGAAGGCCCTTGAATGAGTTTTGCCGGTTACCCTAGTTTGGAAACCCTGAACTGTAAAGCCTTTTTCAGGACTTGTATTATACAATACTATAGTATTCCGTATACAGCTTTGTAGCCCTTATAGAACCCTGAAAGGGAAGCTCCTGATCAGACTTTTTAAAAGAGCCCTCGTACAGCTTTGATAGTAGCTCATAAAAGCTTTAACAGGAACTCTCTTCTCACAAATCGAGGCCCAACCGGCTTCGACGCGAGCGCCGCTGCCGACGCTCTCAGTGAGCACAGGCGGAGACCCAACACCCGCTTGCAAATTTTGCCAAGATCACAAGTAGGATCCTTGAATCAGAAATGTATGGAATCCTTGAATAGGAGACCCTAAAGAACACTACTAGTTACACAGGATCACTGACATAAGGGCCTCAAAGTGCAGTTGCTTTCCGGGCTAGGGAGCAGGTTTACTGAGAGATCCTTTGGACTAAACCTCCTCGACATTCCTCGACCTATTGTAGGGCATTAGGGTAGTTTGGGTTTATAGCAAACCATATATAGTTGTATATTGACTAGAGACCATGTGCTCCGAGCTCCTGTGTCTGCAGTGTAGCAACCATGTCCGCGGTTGCGAGTCGAGTTCAGGGAACCCTAAACCCCTAAACCCCAAACTCCTAAACCCTAACCCCTAATCCCCGAACCTGAAAAGAGCGACTGTCATCCCATGGAAAGGCCTTGGTTATGGCAAGGCTTCGCCACCGAGAAGGAGGCCTGTGCCGTGTCTCAGCTTTGGGTCTTCTAGTTTTAGGGTTTAGGGTTTAGGGAGCTATTGGTCTTCTATGTTCTACAAGCACTGGCATACAGTAATCAGAAGGGGTGTTTGGAGGGTGTGTACGGATTTTACAACGCTTGCATACGGCGTTTCTTGAATTTGGGACGGAGCCTGTTGAGGGATTCTGGAGCTGTACGGAGATTTGCAAACAAAACCTTGAATCCTGGACTGTGGAAGCCTTGTACCAGCCCTTTGGAGCTTTGCAGACTCTACCCACTTCAAGCTTACTCTTATGAGGGTTTTATGCTAGTATCGGCATAAATTTTCTGTCGTTATAGAACTCTGTCCGGGTGGGAAGTCTAATTACAAGGCCCCTGTATCAAAGAAGGTTCAAGACGCTGCAGCGGAGATGGATGATCTCCGGGAGTGCTGGGCCTCAGTGCGGGGTCGGTAGAAGGATGCTGTGAGTTTAGGCTTCTTTAGGCTTTACCTGTGGCCCAAAAGACCGACGCTGATTCAGGAACTATGTATAAAAACCATAATAGGGAACCCCGCAAAGGTAAGTCTTTTCCGTTACGGGTAGGTTTTGAGGTTTTGCTTCGGGTTCGGGGTTTAGTATAGGGGTTGCGCAGCAAGTATCAAGTTTGAGAATGTCAGAACTGAGGGCAGTTCAGGGTACGGTTTTGGTGTAGCGATCTCAGGTTTTCGAGTTCAGGGTTTACTGTTTCCAGTTCGTGGTTCTGGGCCTCGGACTTAGGAGTCCGGTTTGGAACTTGGGAGTCTTCTTGGAAGCTAGCACAATTACTTTTAATACGTCTTGCTGAGGCTTTCTCATATAGCTATAGTACAGGATCCCCAAACCTTATTCTAGCGATTATGGTCCCTATGTCATCCATCATGGGGGTGCCAGGACGGACGGACCCTGAAAGTACGACCGGGCTGGTTGGTAGGTGATCTTATAAGGGAATGTGGAAGTCTAAACCCTAAACCCTAAACCCTTAGCCCTAAACCCCTCAACCCCTAAACCCTAAACCCCAAAACTTTAAACCCTAAAACCCTTTCAACTTGACTGAGGCTTCTAGCGCTAAAGCCGCCCAAAACCATAAACCCAAACCATCCCAAACCCTCTAAAGCCCAAACCCTATTCTCGAACAGCACATGTCTTCCTCGAGTTTGAGTCGAATTTTACATGTTTAAGCCCATTGCCCAAATCGAAATCCTAATTCCCATACTCCGCAACCCCCACAACCGAACCCCGGAACAGCCAGATAATTCTTTCTAGAACCATATCCCCCTGCAAGAACTTTGTTAAAGTTCTTGAGGTTTAGAAGTTGCCCAAAAGCCTGGTGTAGTATGGTCTTCTTTGGACCCCGAAAGCCTTAATATGTGAGTCCCTAGAGCTATAGGGGCAACCCCTATGCAGCCCCCAAAAGCCGGGCAGGAGGGGAGTGCTGAAGGCTGCGAATGCAGACACGACCGGAGCGCAGAAGGCAAACGACCGGCCTCCTTTGGTGGTGGCTTAGATTATTAGGTCTGCCAAGGTGTAAGTGTTTAGGGTTCAGGGTTTAGGGTTTGGCATTTGGGGCCTAGGGTTTTCGGGTTCAGGGTTTAGGGGTTAGAGTCTTAATTTGCACCAGTGTCCCCTTGTAGTCCTTCGATTATGACTATGGCTGTACAACCTGATTGAATCAAAATTTTTAGGACTCTGTATGGGACTTGTAAGAAATTCCATTGCATGCTTCTTCGAGGGCTTGTATAACGCATAGCATTGTTGTTTGTATCCTTGGCAAGGCAGACTGGTTCCGGTTACTTACATGATCAGGAGAAGTGGCGAGTGGGTTGCTATAGCTAGCCTGCCTACGGAAACTAGGAAAACTCGTCGCTGGACTGCCTGGCTTCACTGTTTTGGAAGTTTCTCGTGCTCGCGACGTACAGTCTCACGGGACACGATTTGAGGCTTGCAGAAGAATTCGAGAGGTACACTAGTTCGCTAGTACAGACTGCACCGTTTACACCGACCATGTCTCCAACACCTCAAGCTCATAGTCTAGGACATTTTCAGATAGGTAGTTACCGTTATAGGAGCCTTAGAGAAGGTCTATATACCTTATAGAAGCCTTATAGAAGCACTATCGCCCTAAACCCCCCACCTGTAGTTTCCTGTAACATAGATTGACGGTAGATCCCAATAAACCCCTTAAGTAGTAGGAGCCTGCAGAAGTAGTCGCGCTCCAACATTCGTGTCCAATTTACCCCAAGACCATATTCTGACCATCTGGCTTCTACATTCTATATCCTTGTAATCTCCGATTCCGTGGAATCGCCAGGCTCGCAGTGACCGTGTCGCATTTCTGGAGGCAAGGGGGTGGAAGGCAAACTCGAGATTTGGTGTGATTTAGGAGCCCGAATATTTTGTTGGTGGCGCTGTCGGTTTACACTATGCGATATGTCCGATATGTACTGCGATGTAGGAGCCGGCTTACTTTTGTGATGCTGTCAGTCTGCATTGTCTTGTAGTCTTCAATGGCATGCCACAGCTTCAACGGCATCTCCTGGGACTGTCCAAAACTCCGAATGCATTACGTTTGCGTGTCAGAGATATGACTGTGACAAGTTAGAAAGAGTGCTGCCACCCGCCAGCATCCTGCAATGGCTTAGCTTCACGAGTTCAAGTTACATGGTGCATGTACTTCATGGGGGGCACTCAGTTTAGAGTCTTTGGCCGCTTCACCTTGCATTGAGATGTTCTAATTCGGCATGTCTAGTACCGGTGTGGACGAGCACACTCTGGGTGCAAAGCTACCAAACGGAGACAGCTAGTCCCAGCAACACTGAAGTGCAACAGTCATCCCCGAACCCTAAACCCCGTGTCAAATACTTTTAACATCCCAAAGTCGAAGCACGAAACCTGATGGACAGTGTTGCGACGCACATCTGACATCTGTAGGACGGAATTCTGCTTGACATTCTTAGACGTACGGACTGCGATGAATACGGGAGCTCGCAAGTTTGGTGGCCACATTCCTCGGTGGCCCTATATATGCATATGGGTGGTTGCCAAAATTATGGTCCCTTTTCGGGTCCTTATTATAATACGGCACCTACTATTTAGGGTACCCCAAAAGGGACCATAATTTTGACAACTACCCATATATGCTTGTATACTCACAGGAGCCCGTCTATACATCCCTGAAGCCTCACACTGTCCCTGCGAGGACTTGCATCAGGTGTGATTGAGTTAAATGGTCGCAGGTCGTCGCTGTAACACTAGCCCTTATACTGATACATTTTGTTGTGAAAACCGTTATCGTATCCCCTATCCTTAAACCCAAGACCATCGGAACCCATGCTTGTTTTTGTTATGGGTGCTTTTTGCTCTGGGTGCTCCAGGGCTACGGGCGGTAAGTGAGTGAGTCCACTCCGTACGCACCCAGAGCAGCAAAGAAAAAAACGCCACAGCCTTTACCCCGTGTTTGTTTTTTGTTGTGGGGGCCTTTTGGCGGCATGCGCGGGCGCGCTTTATGTTGCTGTAAGCACCCACACTAAAAAGCCTTCCATACAGAGGCACGCGGCAGTGCCGGCTGCACCCGAAACAAAACAGCACCCGCAAAATTTCAGACCATCAGTCTTGCCCAATGCCCCTGCGCCCTTCCTGACGCACTGAATCTAGCCTATAAAGCCACTGAACCCCAACAATCTCAAGCCCACACCCTGGACCCTTTGCAAAAGACCGGTGGGGAGCCTTAATACCAGCAATAAGGACCTAATAAGGCCTACTTAAGGAAGTATTCGTATAGTCCTCTACCCCCTCCCCCCTACCCCCCTAAGGGCCCCTTAGAAGCCTTGGACAACGTGAGCCATCAGTTTTTAGGGTGTTTTTTCCCACGGACTTGTGAAAGTCCTTCAAGCCTAGACTAAACCCTACCTGTTGAAGGAGCTGTACAACGAAATCAGAAAAGCAAACCCGAAAAAGATCCATACCAGAAACATCAGAAAAAGCAATCCGACCAAATTTGTTTTGGTTAGCTTTACGTTTAACCCTGGAACTCAAAACGTGACGCCCTGGGCGCTTCAGCTGGACGACGAGAAGCCTCCAAACTGTCTTCAGCTTTTTCGGCGAATGGAGGCTCAGACTTCGGTGGCTTCGGGCGAATACAGGGGTGTAACCAGGGTTTAAAGGCTCAGGGGTTTTGGGTTTAGGCTTAGGAGTTCCTTGATAGTTAGAGTTCGAATTCCTTTGAGGTCCAAGAAGATTACTATGGTTAGGAACCCTATGGAAAAGCCGTGGTACTGGTAAGTATTTCAGGCTCCTACAGACTTGTAGAAGCGTAGATGATTGCCAGTTCTATACCTTAGGACTCCTTGACATAGATGACTAAAGACAACAAATTCTGGTTTGTTTGTTGAGGCTCCTAGATTACAGGCTTCTTGAGAGTTTCAATGCGCCGTTGTCGAATGCTGCAGGACTATAGGGTTTACGGGTTGGGGTGCGTTGGGATTTTGAGTTCAGGGCATTGAGGATTTTGAGTTGTCGGGTTATGACTAGAGGACTTGGGGGTTCAGGCTTTTGCAGGGCATCAGAAATACAGCCCATTCTGGAAGCATCAATAGTGGGGCTTCTTAAAGCAATATTCCTTGGGGTTCACCTGTCTGTCCTTGCAAATAGGACCCCGTTGTTTAGGGTCTACATTAGAGTCCCGTGGTTTCTGAAGCTGCCGTATGGGTAGTTCTCTCAATCAGGGTCCCGTTTAGAGTCCTTTTTACAAGGGTGCCGTACTATATTGGGGACCTACAAAAAAAGGAACCCTATTTTAGAGAACTACCCGTATATAGTCACTCTGTAAGTGTTTATTGCCTCAGAGTTGAGGGTTCTGCTTCAGGGATTTATGGGTTTGGGCGCATGGAGGTTTCAAGGTGAGCAGTCTTCCTGGCTTGAGGGATAGCGCTTCTACGTGGTTGTCGTTTACACCGCCCCAGATCTGAGTCTCAAGCTTAACCCTAAACCCTAAACCCTAAACCCTAAACTTAAGGTTTAGGGTTTAGGGTTTAGGGATTCCGCTTAATGCGCAAAGCCGTTGCAGAAGACTGGAGAGAAACCGACACGAGCATCCGTTTCTAATCTTTTGTGATTGTGTGAGCTGCTGCAATGCTGGAGAATAACGAGGCTCATTTTGCTGCAGAGGACATGCCCTACTCATTCTTGACATCAAAACTGTGCATGTGTACATTGGCGCCCCACGGCTGAGTCTCTCGCGTGGAGCCTCGACTTTTCATTCGGAAGTTGTACATTCGGAACCCACGAACGAAAACCGGTGCCGCACATACCGCATGAGCCCAAACTGCCGAAGAGTCTCGAACCAAATCTTAAGCTGACAACCCACACATACAGCATACAGCATCCCAGCTCTTCAGGCACTCCACAGAGGACGCTTGAGCCCCGACGGCGTCAAGCCATCCAAAACCCGAAACCAAAAGAACTGGCACCGCCTGGCATCTGATACTTTGATAAAACAACTTCAAACTGTGAGCCTGAATCTGGTCAGTTTCAACTTCAATTGGTACTTCCATGCTCACACCCGAGAATCTGTTCGACTTTTTGGAGTCTGCCTAGACATCTGCGGGATTTTGCGGGAGGCGGCAGTTGCCACACTACGATGGAGCGAGGGAGGCACCCTGGTTGGAACGAACTTTTGACTTTGCAGATCCTGTTTCAGCTTGCATTGTGGGTCCTGGGATGTCACCTCGTAAACCCAGAACGGTTTGATATCGGAACGGTGGGGCTCGTACTCTTGGACTTTGGCCGAAGCGGTGTGGGAGGGGCAAGTAGTCTTGGATTTGGCAGTCGTGCATTTGTGCGGTCCCGCGTGCTTTCGAACCGGATTCCTCCCAGGCCAGAGACCGAAACCCAATACAGACCAGGAGCCAAACCCTGGTGCCCCAAAGTAAACTCTAAACCCGAAAGAGGCTTTAGTTTGCCGCAGAATCCCGAAAAAATGAATCCTAAGCCATGCATCCCAGGCCAGCTGCTGCGCCCAAAGTTCGGCATGGCAGCAGCCAGACCCTCAGTCGAGCTCACATGCATCCGCAAGCCCGAAACTCAAGCCCTAAACGTCCAACCTCTAAGGTCAAGCCAGAAATATGAAGGCCTAAACCCGCAGATGAAGAAGGTTGACAGAAGACAAAGCCGACGAGGTCTACCCAGCGAGAACATGGGAAACAGATTTTCGAGGGCTTCATGGGTCCCGAAGCTTCTATAGGTTTTTAGAAAGGCTTCATAGTTAACAATTTACCTTAACCCCGCCCCAAAATATAAAAGCAACCGAGCCCCTTCTGTAAAGACTTAAAACACAATCATCATAATAATTAATCAGAAACCTTAAGAGGCTATGCTTTTCCGTTTGAGGTAGCCGCAAGCAGTAGTTTTGGAGGCTCTTGGTACACCTTGGGGTTTCCAGAAAATCAAGGGTTGCTTTTCGAGAGGACCCTATCATTCAGGATGATTTTAGGGGTTCCTGCAAGGGGTTCTTACATGCAGGACCCGATTACGTAGGGTTGGGTCCGACTGGGACAAAAACTCACATCGAGGTCTACGACAAAGGCGGAAGCTACGCTCCGCATCGCGACAATGAGCGCACTGGCCAAAGACTTCGCCAGTGGGTCCGCACCTCGGGCCAAGGCAGCTCAGAAAAGCTTCATTATGTTATCCACAGAAAATTCTGTACTGCATGGTGTTGCTTGGTCAAGTATAAGGGTTTTCTGGCATTCAGCCAGAGCGTTGTGAGGATTCCAGAGGCTGTGTAAAAGCCTCCTTTAGTGGTAGTGGAATCCTATACCTGTGTCATCCTTGCGCGGCGACAGTTATAATGGCCAAAAGCCCGGCCTTAGCTCTTGTAGCTGGAAGAAATGGGAGAACCCCAGGCATCCAAGGTTCAGGGCCTGCAATATAGGTGGCTGAATAGTTGAATGATTAAGCTCATTAGACAAGGGGCATCTGTAACTATGATAAGGAACACGCAGGAACATGGTGGTAAGTTTTTGGGTTCTGATTATCATCCGTTGGAGTGTCTTTCTTTTTTTGTTGTCGTTGTTTAAGTTTTCGGACAAAGGGCTTCTGCTGAAGTGCAAGTCAGGGGATTCTGCGCGGGCCTGCAGTCCGAGCCATGTCTACCCCCAATGTGGTAAATGGCCATAATTGGTACTGCGGTTAAAGCGGAATTTATGAAGTTGGAGACAGCCCAAGGCACAGTAACATAGCAACATATTACTTCAAGCTTCTTGGTAGCTCAGTCAGAGTAAGCGTTTCTGCATCCTGCACCATCCACCTTTGCTTGGGCCTTTTCGGGTTTGGAGGTTTTTGGAGTTCAAGCTTCGGCTGCAGGATTTAGGGTTGCTGGAGCGCACGGACCTCGACCATCTAATCTTTGCACCCTCCCCACATGCGTGGATACTGTTATCCTAAAGCTTTCGGCTAAGCTGAAGCCAACATGCGAGGTGAACTTCCGCGCATTGACGGCAGTGATCTATGTTGCTCGCACGCAAACTGGAATCCCCACCACAACCAGCGCCCCCGAAGCACCCTTGATAGTTACAGAGTTTAGGCGTTTCGGGCTTGAAGGTGTCGGAGGGCTTTCGGGCCTCATAGGGGGGGGAGATTGTGGGGCTTTGGGCTTTCATTCGAGACTTGGGGTTTCGGATGCTTTGGAGTTGACCCCAAAGTCCTTTCATCAAGCAGCACACCTCAAATTATATATGCTGGGATCCCAGGTATGCTTTAAGTTCTTGATGATGGGATGTTGGAGTCTCTGCTATAGCCCAGTTCCATGGATGCTGCAGAGCCCCTTCTTTTCGATCGCCCGTCGTGCTCCGAGTCCTACCAAAAAGTACAATCTAACATAATATATTGCAAAAAAACATGGAAAACCATGAACTCAGACCCCTAAAGCTGAACCGCAAAACCTCTAAATCCCCGAAGCGCCAAACGGGACGAAACCGTAAATTGAACAATGGAATCAAAGATTGTCCTGGCAAAGCCCGCATATCTTCAACCCTACAATAGAGTCGGGTATCCATGTAAATACCCTCATAGAATCCGAATAGTATCCTGAAAAACACTGGTACTGTAGAATTCCCTCGAAATCAAAAGTGATAAGCCCTAATCCCTTACAGAGCCCTTCCAAAGCCTTTTGTTGGTACTTGGGGCATCCGAAGGTCAACCCATCCGGCTTCACCTCTCCAGAGGCTTTCAGAGAAATTGTTCATGGCCTTACGTGGTCTTCTTAAGGATTTCCGAAGGATGTGTTATCGTGGCCCCGACGGTTTTTTTGAATTGAACTGGGTTTGTTATGAAGTTTTAGACAGGTTTCACAGAGGCTTTGCAGTGTCCTCTTCGTTGGGAGGTGGGCGATGTTTAAGCTCTGTGTTGCGGCCCTTTGATTTCAGAAACTCCCGTGACAGTTGTTCGTAACCCTAAACCCTAATCTTCATCAGGGGCTCACATAAGTGCGCCAAGGGTTTCTGCACGTGCTTTCTAAGCATTCCAATCAGTTTAGGGTTAGGGTTTAGGGTTTTGTCCTATGATTTTAGAGGGTGCATGTGTGTTGATTTGTTCTGTTCTGTAGCTAGGGGCTGTAGGGATGGATGACTAATGTTGGTGTCTGTCTATCTATCTATTTGCCGATCTATCCATCTCTCTATGCAATTGTAGCTCTATCTATCTGCCTGCCTTCAGGTCTACTGTTAGATAGATAGATGTGTATTTAGACTGGTAGATAGGCAGATAGAGAGATAGACCGATGGATAGACAGATAGGTATACATGCATGTATTTAGGTATGTATGCATGCGTGCATGCATGTATATTTTTCGGTGTGTATATATACATACATACATACATATGTGTAAGTTTCAGTTTCAGTACTACTACTCTGTATGCATACACTATATACACTGTATTTGCATCAGTTGTTTTGTGTCTCGGCTCGGGGCAAGAAATCAGCCGCTGCATTTTTGCCATTTGCTGCCGCTTGAGACACATAGCAAGCCCACACAAACGAAACCGCAACAGCAACGACAGCAAGAGGACCCAGCACAGACCAGACGACTAATCATCAATGTGGAGGGTCTCCATACATTCAGTCTATCTATCTGGACTCCGGGCCAAGACTTTCTGTAACGTGTGTGTTGTATGGTTTCTGGGTCCTGTTATTACTACTTAAGAAAAGAGCAACAGTCTCGTTTGCTCGAAATATATACACCAAATCCCGCAAGCCTTAAACCTTCAGCACTTAAGATCCAAAAAGTTTTGACCCTAGAACGCCAGAAATTTTGCCCCGAATCACCAATGTGGATATTAAATTCTGATACCCTACTGATAACTTCATTCGTAGGTGAATAAATTATATAATGAACCCTAAACCCTAAACCCTAAACCCCCAGGATGGCGGGCATCTGCGGTGTCATCTGGGAGCAAAGACCGATGATCTCAGCGGGGTCAGCGGACCTAGCCGCGCAATCTGTCTGGATTCCGGATTACTGCAAGACTCCTGTAGCGCATCTATGAAATGCTTTTTGAGAGCCAGTGATTTTGGGGATATTGAACCAGGTTCATCTTGACCTGGGCCTCGCAAATTTACGGTGTGGTCTTCAGCATACACTTTCCTCGGTAGGCTGATGGATATCGAGGTGTCCGGACTCGGTGAAGGGATGGTACTTGGCCCGGCAGGTTGACATGTTGAAGAGTCCGGTGTCTGGACGGGGTGCACCTTACGAGGTTGAAGCTACTAGTGCTTGGCGTAGTGCTGATGCATTCCGCATTTGCACGAACCTTAAAGCAATTCGGGAACTTGCCCATCAACGGCAGTAAGACGATTATTGTAGAGTAATCCTCGACTTTGTTTGTTGATGGTCGAAAGGCTATGAAGCAAACCATCAGACTCCAAAGCACTTAAACGAAGCCGGCTGGAGACACCTGGGTCACTACATCGAGTCCCAAACCTGCGTGGAGACGCTTGCTACCCCAAGTCTTGATGTGGGTCGAAGGAAGCAGAATAGCATTTTGTGTTATGCTCCATTAAACCACACAGGGCCTTTAAGCACATCGTACGGCTTCTCTTGGAGGCTCGCAGCATACAACTTTCAAGTCCCAACTCAACTTGGACATACTTCGAGGCCTCAAGACACTAGACCAGCATGATAATCCTGAATACACCCCCAAAACCAACCTGCATGAAGCCCTTCTAGTCGCCCTTCCGAAAGCCTTCAGAGTAGGCTCATGGAGCCCTGTAAAAGCCTTGCTTGGCACAGCGTTCAGCCCTGCAGTAAACATGCTTGACCTAAACCCTAGGCTCTAGATCCTTAAACCCCAGACCCTTACCCTAGACCCCTTAAGCGCTAAGCATTAAACCCTAGACCGCTACTCTTAAGCCCTAAAGCCTGAAACCTTAGACCCTCCACCGAAGTCGCTCAGGCCACCGCCCTCGAAGTGCAGGTTCTGCTCTCAGCCGTTCTGCTGTTACTGTTGTTCTCAACACTTCGGGTTCAGGGTTGGGGTTTGCTCAAGGGGCTCGGCTAGAATGCAGAGTGTCGGCAACGCCAGGTTTGCATGGGGATTGATTCGTGATTTGGCGTGTGGTCAGGAGTGTTTTTGCTCGGGTTTAGGAGGTCCGGTGGTTTAGGGGCAAGGGGCAGTGAGAACAGAAGGACAACATTGGGCTTGTAGTTTGCGGTGACAGCGGTGTGTTGCTGGTGTATGTGATGGGTTCTATACTACCCTATACTGAAAAGCAACCATTTGAAGAAAGCATGGGAACTCGGAGAGAACTGCCACCTGCCCCTTAATGTTTTGTAATGATTTCGATAATTTGATACATGGTGCTTACTGCCGCTAAGCCCCAAGCCCTAAACACTGGACCTCGGCGCAGGTTTCACTTGCAGCTTTGCCTTAGTTGTTAAGTGGGTAGTTCTCTGATTTAGGGTCCTTTTCGGCCCCCAAAATAGTACGGCACCCTTGTGAAAAAGAGGACCCTAAAAGGGACCCTAGTTAGAAGAACCACCCAAGTGGCACCCCTTGAATCCTTCAGATATTTCTATAGCTCAGGCCGAACTGCCCTCACACTGCAGTTTCGTCGTAAGACTGTCATCCATACCTAAGACCTAAGATATGGCAGCTTCAAGCAAACACGAGACCCCTGGAACGAAGAGCCCCAAAGCATAGACTGAGTCCGCTGTGAATTGAGAAGCCATGATTCTCTTAAAGGCGCAATCCCAACGTTCCCGGCTCTAGAGCTAAAGTTCAGCGAAATAACCGAGTGGGAGTTTCAGAACATAAGGGACCCTCATATAACATATAGAACCCTATAAGCTGAAGCCGTAGGATCCTCGTTCTCGGATCATTTTCAGAAGCACCCAAATGCCAATCCCCAACCCCAAACCTTATTTCCCCCCGGAGGATGTTGCTCCTCGGGGTGGCCTTGCCGTTCTGTTTCCTGCGCGGCGCGTCCTGCACGAGGCAGCTGGAGAGAAAAGGTTTCAGGATAATCTAGATACTAGAGTAACACAACCACCGCTCTTCCCAAAGGGGTCCTAACATTCGCCTTAAACCCTAAACCCAATGAAGATTATAAGAGGGATGCTAATAATTTCTGAGCTCCGGAAAGAAAGGGAGAATCTCGGTTTTCAGCGCCACACAGAGGAGTCAGGGCCAAGGAAAGGCTTCAGGGTTCAGGAGAGACGTCGTTGTTGTTGTTGCCCGTCCGGTGCGTGGCGAATTCACATCTGAGTAAGGAGAGGCTTTAGGGGTCTGTAGTGCGGCCTAAATGTGTTTTGCAGCAGGTTGTTGATATTAACCCTGGTACTTGCTGTGTCCCTAGCCGACTCAATAAGGCCAACATAATTCACCTGGGCAGAGATGCGTGCGCTGCGTCCAGACCAAGAGGCTTCGGTAAAGCTAACAGTATTGCAATGATGCAGAAGCAGCACCATCGTCACCATCATCATCATCATCATCATGATCATTGCCACCGTCAGTGTCATCAACATACTGCCACGACTCAATACTATGACTAGTACTGCTGAGGCTGAGGCTGCTGCTGCTGCCGCTGCTGCTGCTGCTGCTGCTGCTGCTGCTGCTAATACATGTATCGGTACTACAATGTGTACTAGTGCATCATCTTTTCGGCGGGGTTCGGGAATGAAAGTTGTAGATACCAGCTAGTAGCACAAACAGTATCGCAATCGTTTCACTGACCACAAGAGGTTCCAGAGCTGTCAACAACATGTCCTCAGCTTGAAACCCTCAGCCATGACCCCAGCTGCACCCTAAACCCGAAACTAAATTCCAGGTCCTGCCTAGCTTCCGGCAGCGCTATGCGTTGACGTGCCGGCCCCAAGAAAGATCCATGATGTAAGCTTAGTAGTAGAGCAGGTAACATTTCATCTTTCTGGGGTACTGGAATCCCTATACAACGCCAAATATATGATCCCAAAGTTGAACCTTCAGTTCCTTAGGTGCTGGACAAGTAAAGTAGAAGCCAGAAAGTTGGAACATCGTTGTGCTGGTGCCCTTAACGTGAAGCATAGGGGGATCCTAGCACTAATCATCCTTAATCCATGTTCTTTCTTTCTGGGCTTCACTGTAGGTAGCATTTGGCACAAGGTTTAGGGAAGCGCCTCTTACGGTATAGGGCTCCGGGCCCGGGCCCTGCGCCAGAAAAGTCCTAAACGCTGAACCCCCCTAAACCCTAAACCCTATAAACCCTAAACCCTAAACCCTAAACCCTAAACCCTAAACCCTAAACCCATGCCCACTTTCACAACCAAGGCCCTCCCGCATAAAGACAAGCAACAATGGACCCAACTCCCTCCTTCTGTTCTAAGCAAGTAAGTTGCTCGAGTTTGGCCTTCAGGCACCCCCCCTCAAGAGCACATGAAACGAGGATGAGATAATGAGAACCTTGGCTTTTGACAATCTACTGGGCCATAGAACTTGATAACTTGATAAGCTACCAGATGAATCAGCAGTTGATTGGTTGTGGCGGGGCTTGTGTGGGGCAAAGCGCATCTCCCAACTGACGGAGATATCTATGAGTATGAAGTCCTATTCCCACTCGTAGATCCCCAGCATGGCTCTTGTGCCATCATAGACATACGACATTTGGGAGGCACACTTACGAGAAGGTGTGTAGCAATCCGTTTTCGCAGTGCGACCATGTGCTTACCGCCGCTGTGCCTCCTTGAACGGCAGGGGAGAGCGGGGTATTTCAGACCAGACGAAGGTGTTGTAAGGATGACAGTTATCAGTTTTATACGAGGTTTCTTAAAGTTTGGGCTGCCCAGTGGCGGTTTAACAAGCATCCTACTCTAGCTAGCTCGATCCTTTATTTTCTGCGTCCTCCCCAATTTTCGAGCCGAAGGACCCGTTTGACGAGGACGTTGACACAACATTGCTTGTACGATCAAGCAGAATAGCCGTATCACAAAAACAAGATAGCATACAAGTAAATTTATCAAAATGAACTCCAAAACCTTAAACAATAAACCCTTAAACCCTTAAGCCCTAAGCCCCTAAACCCTTAAACCCTAAACCCTTAAACCCTTAAGCCCTAAACTCTAAATCCTAAACCCCAAAAAGAGACACACAGCCGGCAACGATCTCTTGAGGCTCTGGTTCGTGGCTCCGGGAGCCGGCCTCGATTGAGCGCCAGGCGGCACGCGGCGGCATAGGGCTTTGGGTTTAGGTTCTAGGGTCTTAAGATTTGTGTGCCAGGGTGTCAGGGTTAGGGTTTAGGGTTTAGGGTTTGGGGCTTTGGGTTTAGGTTCTAGGGTCTTAAGATTTGTGTGTGCCTTATACGTTTGCTCACAAGGCGCTTGTACATTAGGCTGTACATAATATTTTTGGTGTATGGTCTAGGGTCTAGGGCTTTACAGGGTGTCAGGTTTAGGGTTTGGGGCTTTGGGGTTTAAACCATGGGTGTTGGCATTCCTTCAGCTTTTGCTGAGAGCTTCTGGCTCAAAGTCCTCGTGGTGGTACGAAGGGGATGGAGGAGGAGCCTGAGGTATATACTTATGAGCGCTATGCGGCCCTGGCGACACGGCAGTCAGCTCGAGGGCTGTCCACCTTGGCATGCGCCATGTCGAAGACCGGGATTCCGACTGCGCGGTTCTTGCCCGGAGTGCTGCAACGGCTGAAAGTTTGGTTGCAATAATATTACAATATTTAAAGAGTCTTACAGAGATATTAGTGTAGGGCATAGTACCGTATGGTAGCGCAGCGAGTATGGCAAAGACTAGTTTAGTTTATGCCGTACTGTAGCATAGTTTGTAGTATGGTGTAGCATGATATAGTTTCTAGTCTAGTGCAGTGTAGTTTGTAGTATGGCATAGCATAGCATACTGTAGTATATAGTATAACAGTGTAACTTGAACTTGAGGTCATATAACAATGTAAATAATCAGTTTAATCTCATATATACATATATATATATGTGTGTGTGTGTTCGAAGATTCGATTTGCAATAGCGGCACTTAGATGCACAGCAATTACATGTTAACTCACAAGCACCAATCCTAGGCTGGAGATCGGACAGGCTGGTGCGTGGGTCGATTGCAAGGCCGTGACGGTTCTCAAGCGGTTCGATTCAGCTTCGAGACCTTGGCTCTGCAAGCTGCATCCTTTCCGAGGCCAAGAGCGACCCCATTTCATTCTCAAGCCGGAGGATCTGGGTCTCTTGGAGATAGCTTCGAGATTCAACTTGATGTGGGAGGCGGAGAATGTGCAGTGTTGTGGCGGAGCAGTGTACGTTAAATGCAGGACGAAGCTGCAGCGTTGACCGAACAGGCTGCGGAGAGCGTCCAACAGGTTCAACAGGCCTGGCAGAGTGCCCGGCGAGAAACGTTGGACGAAGCTGCAGCGTTGACCGACCAAGCTGCAAATAGCTTTCAAACGGCCTGGGAGAACAATGCGGTTTTGAACAAGAAGCGAAGCAGGCCGAGGTGTTGATTCCCTACATTTGTGTTCAGTTGCACATCCTGCTGCGTGCGGCGATCGCCCCTGAAGCAGCGCTCGCGCTCCTGACGATCTCTCAGACTCCGTCAGAGACATCGCGAGGAGCGCGAGCGCTGCTTCAGGCGCGAGCCTCGTTATCGACTTGCTCCCAAGTTCTCTTCGAAGCCAAATGCTCCGGGGCTGCAAGGAGTACAAGGAGCTTGCCCTGAGCCTCAACCCCAAACCCTAAACCCTAAACCCTAAACCCCAAACCCTAAACCCTAAACCCTAAACCCTAAACCCTCAACCCCAAATCCCTGTTTAGGCCTCTGTAAAGCGCGAGTTGAAGAAGCTCGGCCTCCGAGGGCATCCAGACAGAGGTCAGGTTGAGATGGCATACTGGCAACGAGGGCACAGGTGGGCTTGAGCCAAAAACGAGCCTTGTGGCCTTCGAAGTATAGTTAAGTGTGGAAATAGTGATACAGATGTGCATTCTCGGTAGTCACAGCATATTCGTTAACGAATGTAGGCATAGTCGCAAAAGAGCTTGTCGGCTCTCTTACTGTCATCTCATCATCTCACAGGTTCTTGCCATCCCGGTTGGGACAGAAAGATGATTTTGAGGCGGTCAGCGTGGCATACATGGTATGCATAGCTCGTCTTAGTGAGCCGTCAGGCGAACCTATGGAATAAGGCAGTAGACCTGCAGGTGTTTTTTGTATGAAGCTCCCTTTTTGAACATGCCGTGGGGGCACTGTGAACACGGCTCTCATTCCTCTGACTGCCTCAAGCGCGAGGGAGGTCGTCGAAGAGCTGCGAAATAGCAGAAGTAGGGGATGAAAGATTCCCCGAACTTCGAAGGTATAGTGCTGCATGCAGTTGAGTTGGACGTCGCTCTGGCAAAAGGAGCATGTAGGGTCTAGGAACACGGTGCAGCGAACCTAGATGGTCAACATAGCAGCAAGGCAAGAAGAGCTGGTTGCTTCAGCATGCAGGCTTCCAAGACCTTGGCACTGTCGGGTTGGTAGTGCTTCCCTTGTGGGATCCTTGCAACCAGCACTGGACTTCTTGGGGTGCGTCGCAGATTTTAGCCAGCTTCAAAAGTCTACCACGACTTCACTTCTGATTCTCAGGTGGGACCCGCGGACATAGCGAGCGCCTGCAACTGTACACCCGTCGAAAACAGCTGTGCATGGTTCGGTTTAGGCATGTAGGTTTCAGGGGCTGTGGATTGTGAAATGCATGCGTGTGTGTGATGCTTGTTGTTATAGGTTGTTGTTAGTTGTTGTTGGTATTCGTATCATCGTCGTTGCCGTAGGTGTAGCAAATTGGCTGCGATTCCCGGATGATGCGCTACTCAGCGCGAGCACAAACCCCTACCCATGGACTCTGACAACCATTGGTTGCTTATTCCATGACACTGTTAATGACAAAGTTTTGCATCACCTTGTGCTATGTTCTGGATTCTGGGCAGCGCGATTTTTAGCCCGGGAATACAACAAAGCCTGTAACGTAGCCAGTGTAGACACCACACAACTCACACAACCCCATGTAGGGCTTGACCATCAACATCAGAATTGCGATCTGTCTTGTCATCGGTTCATGATGCACTTCTTTGAGGAAGCTCCAGTCACCGGTTGCTTAGAGGCTTAGGCTTAGTCTTTTACAGCTCTTAGAGCCTTCGTCGGCAACCCTCTTGATTGCCGGATTTTGGGAATTAGGGTCTAGGGTCCTTCAAGTCCTAAACTGACATCCAGAGATTCTAAGGGCTTTAGGGCCACCCAGGTCACTTGAATATCTAGTATGGAGGTAGTGGACACTGAGGGACCTAAACCCTAAACCCTAAACCCTAAACCCTAAACCCTAAACCCTAAACCCTAAACCCTAACCGTTCTTGACCGACCCGTTATTTTCTGCGCACGTTTGGCTTCGCGCCGCGGCAGCGTTGACATCTCAAGGTCTCAGTGTCAGATTACTCAGATTTGGGTGGTTGTCAAAATTATGGTCCTTTTTTGGGGTCTTTATTATAATACGGCACCTATTATTTAGGGTACCCAAAAGGGACCATAATTTTGACAACTACCCAGATGCATCCAGGAGCTCTCCAGACCTTTTGCTTGGCTTTAGGGTCTAGACAGCCTAGGAAGTCTGGGATCTAGAAAGCCCCGCCAAAGTCCTGCTGACCTAGAGTTATAGACTAGACCAACAGGGGCTCCGGGAATTGCGGGTTATAGCTCCTCGGTGATAGTTGGATGGAGCTTCTGTGAGCTGCGAATGCGGTTTAGGTTTCATCGTATTTCCAAGGTCGTAGAAAAGCCCTGAACCCTAAAGTCTCCTGCATATCAGGGCTTCGGGCTAAGGGTTTTATAGAGACCTTTGTGACCGGCCCGAGCATGGCGCCCTCCCCGCCGAAACGGATCAGACGCAAGCGGGTCGAAGGGCGCCTCTTCAAGAGTTTGAGTCTTTCCACTTGGGCATTACTTTAGGGTTTAGGGTTTAGGGTAAACTTCAGGACCCATAAACCTGTCCCCAAGTCCGAAGCCTTGAGCCCGAATCCATTATGACCTAAAACTCTACATGCGCTCGTGATTGACCGCAAGTGCGCAACTTCGGTTCGTGACATTGGGCTTTTGCATCATCCTGACGCCGGGATGTGTTGATCAGCTCTTGTCAAGAGTGAAGCGAAACGTGGATTAAGGTGTAGGCAAAAACCAGTCGCAGACCAGGCTCCACATAGCATTGAAAACTGGGGAGCACCTAAGCATTGTCCGACCTGCTTTCTTTCCTTCGCAAGAGCTCCAAGCCCTAAGCCCTAAACCCTAAACCGAGTTCCAAGCCCTAAGCCCTACACCCTAAACCGAGCTCCAAGCCCCAAGCCCTAAACCCTAAACCGAGCTCCATAAGCCCTACTATGTAGGCTCCTACTCGGGCTGAGGCTGTCTACGCTGTGGGACTACCCGGCGTTGCTTCGGAGACTTGGCCAAAATCATGTTTAGAGATTCCCTCAGCCCTACACTCAAGCCCGAACAGAATCTGACTTGACGGGCTTAGGGTTTTGGGGTTTATATAGGGTTTAGGGTTTTGGGTAACCCCTGTACTTCAAAATTTCGTTTCGTATGTTCAGAAAAACATCGGACTTCCATGCAAGACCAGTTATCTTCAGCCCCGCGTCTTGCTCTCCACAGCTATGTACATGCATGCATATGTGTTTCGCCGCACGAGCATGCCTTGGTTGAAGTTCCATAAATAAAGGGTTGGAGCCCTAAACCCTAAACCATAAACACTAAACCCTAAACCCCCAAGACCCCAGCGTTCCGACACGACGTAGAGGCAGGCTCCGAAGCCCAGACTCTTGAGCCAAGCCCAGAGTCCAACATCCGTTGATAAAAGTGATCCAGGGTCGGAGGAGTTAGCAATCAATATCCCTTCATCGCCCTTGTATATTTCTGCCCTTGTTGACCAAAACGTAGGGTTTAGGGTTTAGGGTTTTATTGTCAAGCCCTATTCTGACGATTAAGACTTCTATATGATCAAAGAGTCGGTCTAAGATCCTGAACACTGAGCTACTCTCCTGAACCCTAAACCCTAACCCTCTGAACCCTAAACCCTAACCCTCTGAACCCTAAACCCTAAACTTCCCCTAAGCCCTGAACTCTACACATTCTGAACCGCGCTGAGAGAACGAGTCGCCCTCTGGATTTGAGGCTTTTGGACTCCCTGGACATCAAGAGATCCCACGCAGAGCCGCTCTTGCGGGCCCTCACTGCAAAGGCGCGCCTGCCCAGTTCAGGGTTTGGGTACCCATAGGCCATAGGCCCTAAATTAGTTCGGTTCGTATATAGAATCCTATAAGGTAACCCAAAAAGGAACTACTATGGGGCCTATGGGCAGGTTCTGGCTTGAAGCATGAGGGTGTAGATTGTGATTGGAGTGTTTAGGGTTTAGAACTCATACCCTCGGGCTCCAAACAGCCCAAAGTAGGCACTACATTCAATCACCCATATCTATCTTTCGCTGTTTGTATCTGCAGAGTTATAGAGTTACAGAGCTGTAGGTCGGACCTCAAACCGGTATACTTAGAGTCTCAGCAAAACAGGGCAACGCTCCCCAACATGATACTTGGGTCTGCATCATCCTTCGCAATAAAGAATCCGCTTGGAGGCCCAAATGAAACATACCCCACAGCCCTACTAAGGCCCTTCTTGTAGTCTCATGAGAGCCCTGATGGTGACCGAACTGTGGGCAGCCAGGCAATAACGGAGGGCGTTTAGGGCTTGAGCTCTGACCTTCAAGCTCGTAGACACCCTAAATCCTTAACACACAGAGCTCGGGCTGGCGTCTCGGTTTGGTACTTGAAGGACCATGGGACTTAGTAAGTAGGGCTATAACTAAGGTAACTATACTTATGACCCCAATTAGGGGACTTATAAGCTTACTTACTAAGTCCCATGATCCTCCAAACCCTAAACCCTAAACCCTAAACCCTAAACCCTATAACCTTACTTACTAAGTCCCATGATCCTTTAAGTAGCTTCGTGTTCAGGCAAGGCCAAGGCTTGAAGGGTGATTTAGGAGGCTTCGAAGTCAAGTTCAGACGGGCGAAGTAACGCGATGATGGAAGACTGAGGGGTTCTGGGTTTTTTCGGAGGGATCGTCTGAAGGATTCAGCAAAGTTCGTTTCGAGGGTTTGCCTAAGGGCTTGAAGGTTTAGAACGAATGCCGATTGATCCCCCAAAACAAAGACCATCCTGGGCGATGAGAATAGGAAGTTGCATCCTGAACCCATAATTCTTTAATCCTCGAAATCCGGCTTATAGGGCTTATAGGACTTACAGGGCGCATAGGGTGTTGGGCACAGTTCCGTACCCCACAAGGACCCATTGGCCTTCGGGTTGATATAGGGTCACGATCCGAGATATGTACCGTAGTTTAAGCACGGCCTGCTTGTATGTATGCATGACAGTAGCCACTGGACCACCCGGAGCCCAATAGCCCTTGAAGACAATCCCGGAATGTGTCAAGAGATCCTGAGCATGCTTCAAAGCTGAGTTCTTATTGCGTTGTTTAGGGCATCACTACGTACGGGAATCTGGAGCCACAGTGAAGCCATCCAGCGCATCTTCTGCGAAGGTGGTTCAAGCCCCTGCTGGCGACACCTGGGGCGATGTCGGAGTCACCGCAGCGGTCTCAGTCGGACTTGGGTTTGGTCTTTCGTGCTTCTAAGTCGCGTTCAAAGTCCCTGTTCGGCGGTCTGAAAGGTTTAGAGATGCAGAGTGATGAGCGGTTGAACTGTACATGACATTACATTAAGCCGCTCATGAAGATGAATCTGGCAGCACCTTGCTCCGTGCCCAGACTCAGCGGGCACGATCGATATAAGCACCAGGATCTCACAATTAAGCCTTCAAGTTTTGTCTGGAAAACCCTAAACCCTAAACCCAAAACCCTAAACCCTAAACCATCCCCCTCACAGGAACCCTTACGCCCCAAGAAGGTAATTCTGCCCGGGGCCCTGCACTCGGAAGCTCAAGCTCCAGGAATCCCTGAGAGCGCAGACGAAACGAGGTCAAATTCCCCATGGCCTTAAGGAAGACGCACCGAAACGCGACAGAAGCCCCACGTAGTTTAAGGTATATGGCCCACATATATCCCGCAGGCAACCGTCATAAAACCTGGTCCTTCAAGACCGTCAGAAGACCATAATTCCACGCCCCGGAACCCTCAATGAAGAACCCTTATAAATGTAGATCCCTTTTAGGACCCGCCCCAAACCCAAAACCAAGAAAACACCAAAGCCCAAGCAAACTACACCAAGATCCATGTAACCCCAAACTTTAAACCCCTGGATCTCAAATCCGTTCAACAGAAAACCCTAAACCCTAAACCCTAAACCCTAAACAGAAACAACGAGGAGCAGACTCTGGTTGACTTGGGTCTGCCCAAGAGGGCGGCAGAGGTCCTCGAACGCCGGGGGCACCCAGAAAGCTTGGAGTTTTTAAATTCAGGAGTTAAAACGGTTTAAGGTTTAGGGTTTAGGGTTCAGGGTTTAGGGTTTAGGGTTTAGGGCCAATTTAGGGCTGGTGATCTGGGGTTCGAGGGGTTTCAGACTCTTGCGACTTTGGTTTAGGGTCCTGTAAGTAGATGGTATTACAGTGGTTTGCGGTTTCAGGGTGACGGTTCAGGTGTTTGGGATGCTATGGTCCACCGGAGGATTTCACTTCCATCCAAACCACCTGCTGAGGGAGCACGCCCTTCGGGAACAAGCTGGCCACGGCTGTCACCTCCGCAGACGGCTCCACGACGACGCCTGTTGCAAGAGCTTCCGTTATCACATTGAGGTTTCATTCAGGGGTTTAGGAAAGTTCGTCCTCGGCTCTGTGCACAGGTAATGCACATCCTGTGTTAAGGGTTAGGACTTTATAGGGTATAGGATATTCGGGTATAGTTTTGTGGTTGGATTTCCCCTGCAGTCTCAAATCCCTTAGAATGAGATTTTGTGTGGTAGGTTCCGGGCTCATCTGATATCAGGGAGTGGCTGGACGGAGGTTTCGCAGAATTCCGCTGCACAGAAGCATCGACGTCACTCCACCCCAAGCAGAGCTCGAAAAACCTCCAAGAAGCCTTCAATACTAAGCCTTATAAGCCCGTGACATTCAACGCGAACAGGAAGATGGTCTTCGAGCTGCATGATGGGCACAAGGCGACAGCAAGGACAATTAAATCCTTATGGGCTCCCAAGTATAATTTACTGGAAGAGTGCACCCAACCCTATTCCAATTAATTACTAAGGCCCCCATCGTACCGGTAGCAGTTCATAATCGGTCTGTCAGTGTCCTAGACCCATCTGCTGAGTGGTCGGGTAGCACTGACAGCGCCATTCATTTCTGCGTAGGAACGATCACTTCAGGCCCCTGCGTCCGTCCGTGCGAGACCCTAAACCCTATGCACCCTGAATCTTGAACCCTAAACCCTGAACCATCTTGAACCACACCCTGAACCGCAAACCCGAACCATCTTCAACCAAGCTAAGCCAGAAGCGCTGAGCCCTAAGCACCTTGAACCTGAAAGCAAGAATCAGGCTCATGGTCGCCCTTTAGAAACGCTCGTAGAAGCTCGACATTAACCACATATACCTCCAATCCCCGAGTCCCTGAACCCTAGACCTTGCTCTCGCTCTGATTCCATCGTCTTGCAGGTTGAATCGGTTGTGATGCGTCACGATGATCGGACGACCATTTGTGTGTCCTCGCAGGCCTGGTAGTCGCCAGATCGGAAGACGTAGCCAGAGCCGGATTTGGCTAAGTTGGGGCCTTCAGCTAGACTCTACCACAAGCGCTTCTTGTCGCTGACGCTAGTCTTCCTGTCGTGACTGCAGCGCAAGTGGGAGTTTCCGAAAATAGGGAACCCTAATATAGTACACCAAATAGTAGGATCCTTATTATAAGGACCCCAGAATAGGGGACCCTAATATAGCACACCAAATAGTAGGATCCTTATTACAAGGACCCCAGAATAAGGTACCCCCTGTTTTCGGAAACCCCCAAAGTCCTGCAGACCCTGAGCTCCGAGCATGAGACCCCAACCAGGATTTTAGGGTTTAGGGTTTAGGGTTTAGGGTTTAGGGTTTAGGGACCAGGATGAAGAGAGCCCGCACAAAGAAGATCGAATCGCCAGACGGGGAATCAAAGCGATCATCACAAACGCGGCTAAACGGCTAAACCCAGTAAGCCCCGAAACCATGAACAGCCGAAACCCAAAACCCTGAATATGCCCCCTAAACCCTAAACCCCTAAGCCCTAAACCCTAAACCCAAAACCCTGAATATGCTACCCTAAACCCTAAACCCCGAATCGCATGGCTCGGAGGTTGGATGCCAGATGGGCTGCACTTTCTGTGCTACGGGTACTATGCCAGTCGTGGGCGAAGCTCTGGCGGGATTTTTCTCAGGCATCCAGCTTCTTCATTTCATATCAATTACATGCGGTATCCGGCCCCTAAAACCCCAAGCTGCAAGCCGAAAGCTCTAAAACCTAAACTGCCTTTAACCCCACACGGTCTGGGGTCCTGATTTCACGGTTGTCAGGGTTCGGCAGTCGAACGTCGGGCTCAGGATGGACCAAGAGAAGTTTACGAGTCCGAGTCTGTGTTGAGATGAAATGCTCGGTTGTCGTGAGGAACTGGAGCTTTCGGTGTGTTGGTTTTGTTCGTGGTCGCCTTCATGCCTACTTGCATACTCGGAGTGTGTCAGTTCCGTCGCATGTCGCAGAGTTGACAGTGGAAGGTTGCCCATAGCCGCGACCTCAAATCCTACAAAGAATCCTAGCTTACGATCTCCAATTACGACGTATAACCCTTCACATGGCAAGTGATCAAATCCCGCTCTAGGGCTAAAGGCGCAATAAATGCATCGCCTTGGTGTCTGCATGTGTTAAAAAAACGGCACTCAGCTACATCCTGCCCTGAGGTTCCTGGGTTTCGGTTTCGGGCCTTGGGGGTTCAGGGGTTCAGGGGTTCAGGTAGAAGATGGTAGAAGTGTAGGTGTCCTTTCGGGCCCTTGGGGCTGAGGGTCTAGGGTTGGCAGTAAGCAAGGGTATTGAAGCCCGGCCTCATGAAATCCCATGATCCGTCAGGCAAGCCCTGGACTCACAATCCTAAGCCCTAGGGCCATGCCCAACCCCCTCCCTTACCTCTGGTTAGCAGGGAATGGAGGAATGGGTACAATTATAACTACTATTACTACCATTCTTCCATTCCCTACTAACCAAAGGTAAGCTCCTGAAAGCCACTTTCCAAACTCTCGGAAGCTTCCCGTTCAACTCTACTCTCAAAATCTGTGCAACAGCATCGCTTTAACCCTCCACCCCGACGTCGCCAAGAACAACCCCGCTCCAAGTCTTTTGAAGCAGAAGTCCCTACACCCTGAACCTAAACCGTCTCAGGATCTTGACGCGGGAGAAATAGTTGAGCAGCCACCTAGCCGCAGGGAATGATCTTTGTTTGCACCTCTTCCCTGTGTGAAGTAGGATGCAGCCATGGGACATAGGGTTTCAGATGCTTGACATGCACGTTAAGATGTGTCAGATGTGCAGGATGTGCGAACTCTCAGTTTGCCAGTTTGCACTGATGTCGTTTACCGTAACTTTCAGGTTGTTCGCCCGTGAAATAAGCTGAGCATGATCCGCTCGGAAGCGTCTCTACCATAATACAGTTTCTGTACAATCCACATAAAATCACAGAGCAGACACCCGTTCCCAATTCCCGTTCCCATGTCGCACACACTTCACCCAGTTTTCCAGGTCCATAATCTAAAGGCCTAAATCCCGGTTTCTAAGCGGGAACCCCTTTAAACATAAACGCAAGCCGAGCCCCAATCCCCGGTTGAACACTTGCAACACATTTACGCAATCCTAAAAGAACAAGCCCACATAGAAATCATTGGAGACCCCTTTAAAAGGAACCCCTTAAAGGGATCCTATTCTAGTTATCAGGTCCCTTAAACCCTAAACCCTAATGTAGGAACTTGATTAACAGGCCCTGACCCTAAAACCTCACTAGATTCGGGTTCATAAAAAAACCCAAGTACAGACCCAGGGTTCCCTAATCAGGTTCCCACACTAAAATTCCCTTCTCAACCCTGGACCTTAACCTCCCCCCCCCGTAAACCCTAGACCCTAAACCCTCAACCCCTAAACCCTAACCCCTAAACCCCTAAACCCCTAACCCCTAAACCCCGGTAAACCCTAATTAAACCGTTGTTGCACCCAACACAATTACCTATACTATTTTGGGGGCTCCTTATTATAACTATACTATAAAGGAGCCCACAAAACTTTCTTCTAATTGGTAAGCTGGTCCCCTACATTAAACCGTTGTTGCTCCCAAAGGCTCTTGGCGGCCCAGCGCTTCGAATCCTCGGCCAACCGCCCTGCCGTGCGCAACGCGGCGCCTTGGGCCTCCAGCGGAGTTTCTTAGGGTTTTGGGTTTTGGGGTTTAGGGTCTGTAGAAATTCCTTGGGGTTCAGGTCCTGAGTTTTGTGCGTTTTTGACCGGGTTTTGTTTTTGCTTTTTGCTGGAATTTTGCTTAGGTCTGGGCTGGCAGGTGGCTGGGCTGGCTGGGTTGGCTGGGCTATCCACGCGCAGCGGAAACACATTTGTTTCTGGAATTTTCGGGTTTGTGCTTCTAGTCTGTCCGTCGAACATTGAAATTATTATATGGCCGTGCATGTTACACCAAACAATTTCTTTCTATCCTGGGCTTGAGTGTTTAGGGTCTAGGGTTTTGGGTTCTGGGGTTTAGGGTTTACGGTTTAAGGTTAGGGTTGAGGGTTTAGGGTTTAAGGTTAGGGTTTTGGGTTTGGGGTTTAGGGTTGAAGGTTTAGGGTTTAGGGTCAGAGTTTGAGAGAGCTTTAGCGTGTTCGCCTAGGGTTTTGAAAATGTTCTACGGATCCTTTGGAGGGCCCCTTTAAGGGTTCGGTTGGAATTCAAGCGGATGCTTGCAGCAGAGATTTAGACCCTAAATGCCGAGTCCCCAATATTATTCCTTAGGGCTGCTTCTTCTAACGACACCACAATCAAACCCAAAAGCCCTATTCTAACGATTCAGGCCTAAACCCTAAAGCTTAAACCCCTTGGTGCGTCAGCTGACACTAGCCATTCCAGAAGAAGAAAACCAAACCCTAAAACCTAAACCCTAGAACAAGCTTGACCTAAAGTCCTTATACAAGCCCTACAAACCTTTGGGTCATGCTTGGAGCAGGGCTGTCCTGGTTCAATGGCCAATGCTTTTGGAGACTTTAAGGTTTGTTGATGGCATAGGGGCCTAAATAATTACCAGTACTATGGTAGGAGCTCCTGATTATGGTTATTAATCATAATTATAGTATGTTTACAGTATAATGGACCCCAAAGCTCTATTCTGATGATTGAGGCCCCTACACTAACGGGTTTGTTGAGGGCTCATAGGAGCTTTCAGAGTTAGTGCCTAGCCTAAACCCTAAACCCTAAACTGGCCCTAAACCCTTTAGGGTTTAGGGTTTTGGCCGGGAAGTGTGGCATTTCGGGGAAGCCCGAAGTTGAGGTGTTCATGGGCATGGGCGAGCCGTTGAACAACTACGAAGCTTGGCAGACCCGCTTTCAGCATCTTCGCGTCTAGCTGCTACAGTAGCTACTAGCTGATTAAAAGAAGGCTAGAACAAAAAGTTGGGGGTTCAGGGTTTGGGAATTAGGGGTGTTAGGGCTGGGATTGGAGGTTTAGGGGGCTGCTGGTTTTGGGGTTTTCGGGGCCCGGGATGTTTGGGCTTTAGGGGAGTTTAAGGGTTTAGGGCTTAAGTGCAGGGGTTGAGTGCTTCGGCATGTAGTTAGACACTGGAGGGTAGTACGATAAGGTCGATGGCCTAGGCTTTGAACAAGTAGCTGTTAAACGCTTCGACTGGACAAGCAAGTTTAGGGCCTGGCACTGAGGGTCTAGAGCTTCTGTCGAGACCCGTTCCCAACTACCATAGTATTTCCTAAGTACCTGCTATTGAAGGCCAGAAGTCTACTCAAGGAGTCTTGGTTTTCTGTCAAAACAAAACGTGACCGCTGCAGGCTATAAGGGTATGCAAAGCACACCTGAGCGGGCCCAGATAGGCTTGCTGCGGGGTCTAAGGGCCGGGTTCAGGGCTTATGCTTTCGCGTTGAAGGTGCCAGCTCCGCCGTTATGCAGCACTTTAAAGCTCCGCCGTTATGCAGCACTTTAGAGCTTCCAAGATCTTGTAATTATGAGATATGATGCTTCAAACTATAAGAGGGATCTTCGTACGGAGCCCTATCATGCGCGTCTGGTGGAGCCTCTGCAAAGCAGCAAGCAGTGGAAAATTCGTGAACCATGGCCGCCTTATGCACCCGACGGGGTCACCAACAAGCACTGAGGAACCTTTGGAATTTAGGGTTTGGGGTCCCTGGACGCGCGCTATCAAGGACCACGTGCTGTCCGCCGTGAAGACTATGACGGATCTCGGCCAGCACCTGGGGCAAATTGACATCAGCTTACTATAGAAGTTTTGAGCACTTCGTAGACCCTAAACCCCTAAACCCTAAACCCTAAACCCTATCCGCTTCTAGTCCGCTATGCTGCTGGCAATGCGATTTCTCCCAAAAACCCTACTCGCAGTTTTCAGGCCCCTAGGCTATGGTTCTGTTTAGGGGTCTTAGGGGGTTTAGGGGGGTTTTAGGGGGTTTAGGAGTTTTAGGGGTTTAGGAGTTTAGGGTTTAGGGTTTTAGGGGTTTAGGTTCGGATTCGGGTGTTCGTGTCTTGGGAGTTTAGGCCTTCACTTAGGATTTTAGTCTTTGGAGCGTCGGACGTGTTCCAGTGGAGGTAGCAGACGTCTTTTTTGGTCGTTTACCCTAAGGCTCCATGTACCTTTATAGTAGATGCTTAAGCCTTAAAGGGGTCCCTATATAGGTACTTTAGGGTCGATGTATATACTATACGGGTACATGGAGCCTTAGGGTTACAGCACGGCCCTTCTCCGCGGGGACAGCCTGCAGGGTACCTACTGGGCGGGCTCATAAAGTCCCACGAAAGCCATAGAAATTAAGCCATGTGTAGCTCTCTACAGCCCCACAACACCCTATGCAACCCTGTCAACGCCCTTGAGGGCTTCCAAGAACTCTATGATACCTAGAGGAGAGCTTCCACCGTAAAAGATTGGGTGACGTCGCACAGGGCCGGAGCTAAATGCTCTCGGCTCTGGCCTCTGATATCTACGTACATGTAGTGTTGTAAGGGGTGGAGGGGCCTGTTGGGCTGCAGGGATTTAGGATTCTGGTTTTTGTTTGAGGTTTCGGACGTCAGGCGGTGAGGCAGCTAGGAACCTAAGGCCTTGACCTCAGGAGGACTGGTATCGGGCTGTGACGGTGGATTGTGATTCTCGGGCGTGGGGGAATCAAGCTTTGGTTTTGCAAGGAGTTCCGACTTGCGTGATGTGGGAGCAGAGTACAACCAGTGTTTGTCATGTTGTGGTGAGGATGGCGGGTGCAGACTACAGACAAATCTCACAATTGGGCACGTATAGCTCACATTCAGGCTGCCGGAGGTGTGCATGGGTCAATTCAGAACGAAGGCAGCGGTCTTATCCTGAGTTCAGCCCTAACCGCTCCTGTTGCGAGCGTTCTGAAGTAGGTGAGCTGCCGCAGCACACAGAAGCTTTGCTTCCACAAGATTGACGAACTAGTGTAGCTTCTGATCCCTAAACCGCTGGCCACGAACCCCAAACATCGCGTCCTATACCCAAGTCCTTAGCGCGGACTACAAGAGCTCGTGCAGAATTCTGGCAAGTACTATAGTACTGCTGCCAGTATTACGGCTGCACTACAGGTACCAGTAGCGGACGAAGTAGAAGCCCTAAACCTAAACCCTAAACCCTAAACCCTAAACCCTAAACCCTAAACCTAACCCTAAAGCCTAAACCCTAAACCCTAAACCCTAAACCCTAAACCCTAAACCCTAACCCTAAACTCTAAACCATA